AAATATATATATTTTAATTTTTTTTATTTTGTTATTTATTGGCTCATGATAGGCCCCCGATCTCCGTAGGCCCCTGGGCTTCAGCCCAGGTCAGCCCGTGCATTAAGGCGGCCCTGGCCGGGAGCATGTTGTTTCTTACACGACCACTAGAGTACCTCTAGTGGTCGTGTAAGAAACAACATACACTTTAAAACGTGTCTCTGGGTCGTAATAAGGGCATGAACAATCGGCCAATATGGTCGTTTTTTGTCGGACAGGCTGCTCTACGCTCAGTTTAAAGTGAGTTCAACACCTGTTTGATGATTCTCACGTACATTTGAATCCTCACCGTCACCCCTGAAAGGAAGCTAGTTGATTTCTGTCTCCAACACTAAAAGCGATTAGCTCCATGTTAGCGCTCATCAGTCTGGTGATTAATCCCATCCTTCCCCTAACAGTGTTTCACAACTGTTTTCACATCAGCTCAACATTTCTCTCTTTATCTACATTTGTTCGCAGATTTGCGGGCTATGTGACCGGGAGCTGTATACAACCTGAGGCGGTCAGTTTAACCCTGAACACAGAAGACGTTTTTGCACGCTGTAAACAAACTTCATAGACGCTAAATTGAGTTCCACTCTGTAAACCTGAGCTACATTTAAATGAAACCTTTTTTTAAAAACGGCTTAGCTCCGCTGTTTATTCACCCTGTCCAAGCTAGCCAAGTCCTTTGTGGGTAACTTGTGTGTTTTTGCATCCTTTAACAGGGACTCTGAGTCTGAAACTTCAGCGCTGGGGAGTGAGGTGTAGCAACAGCGGAAGGGCTTGACACCACTGCTGCTTTAACCTATTTGCACAAAACTGTCGAGGAACACGACCACCAACTATCTGGACTAACAGAGAGACCATGATGAATTGGAAATGGGGGACCCTGATGTAAACAAGACGAAAGTCTTTCTCTGGTCTGCATCCCCTTAACAATTGTATGTTTTGAGCTGTACTGTACTGTACCCAATATACAAGCTGTTAATAAACTTTTCAATCAATCAATCAAACCACAGACCACAGCTGCTGCACAAACATCCTCAGCATTAAGGCTCCCTGCAGCGGACCACACAGGTTTACATCGCCCTCTAGTGGCCGGTCCGGGGCATCTCCTGTGTTGTCCTTTATCTCCAGCTGTGTCCAGCCTTTTTGTTTCATCAACACCGTTACTACACTCCTCTGCTGTGAATGCAGTGCACTATATACTGAAATACTTGGTCAGAATTGGGACACAGCTTGTGATCTATGGTAGTTTATTAAGTATTTATTTGCTGGTTTACATGCTCTGACCTTCACTCGTGCAGCAGACTGGAGTGTGATGTTACCGTTAATGTTTACCACGTCTTAGGTCACTTGTGTTCGCCTTTCCATTCAGACAGCGTGCTCTGAAGGAAACACACACTTTCAGCCCTTAGTTATGAAGAGTATACCAGCACTATCCCACTAACTGGAGTCATCTGAAGCTCTGCTACATTTTATACTTCTTATTTGGTGCCGTTGTTCCTTGTACAGTTAGTTCAAGTTAAAAACTTGAATCTCCTGAAGGGGAAAAGGCACCTTGGGGTATGATATACTGTATGTGTGAATCACTGCCTTACATTTTCACCTTAAATTATTAGTTGCAATGAGATTTCTGTTAAAATTCTTGCACAGGTTTTTTTGTTTTTGCTTCACAGAATAGTTTTTCCCATTCAACCTTTTCTTTGCTTTAACATTTCAGCCAATCTCTTCTCTTCTGGTTTATTAGATCTTTCTGAATGTGCTTTCACATCGTAGTCCACTCCAGTATGAAGTCATACAGCATGTTCTCCCCTCCCAAAGGGAAGGGAACCATGATTTATTTAATTATTTATTTGAATGAAATATTTAAGGAATTCTTTTTTTGTTTCTTATGAAGGCACATGTTGATAATAATTTATGAACCTTGAGTGGTTAGTGATTTTCATGTCCTGTGGAAAAAACTTGAAATCAAACATCAAATTGGTGGATTTCTTTTTCTAAGAAAATAAAATGGAAAAGGTTGCTGTATGATACACATACTACCTTTACAGTGTTACTGGTATTAAGATTTCATAGACACCTCTTTGAAACTTAATATATTTCTGTATCTATAATTTTCATTCTAAGTATCTCTGAAAGAGGTGAATGAAGCACATTATGTCTCCGAAGTGTTATTTGCAGATGTGTGTATAATATGTAAATACATTTCTAAGTTTGACCTTCTTGAGCAATATAAATCAATGAAAAGATGAAAAATGTGGTGTACATTTTTAATTTAAGTCTGTAAATAAAGTTTGTAAAAACAGAGAAAACTTTCTATGTGTTTGAAATATCAAAATCTAGAATATTTAACTAAATTGTTCACCTGATCATTGATCAAATCTAAAATCCTTAGTTTCATAGTTTTTAACCCTTGACAATAATGTGCATACATTTAATGTAATATGTAAATGTAACTTCCAATAAATAGGACCTACAACATATTTACAGTAAGTATTTTTTGAAAATTAAATTAATAAAAGCTGCTCAATGATACGAACAATTATTTGGTACATTTAAACCATAGAATACATAAAGATTTAAAAAACAAAATTTGCATGGAATTCAAAGAAATAAAACGTTAAAAAAAAGCCGGCCTGTGTTCACTCCGGAAGAGGATTAGGGCCAAGTGGATGTATGGATCTACGGAGCCCCTAAAGGGAAATTACAAAAAAAAACAGAGAGAAAAAAAAAAATCAGGATAACGGGTTAGTATCTCGTGCGTACTTTTTTTTTGTTGAGAAAGTTACCGGTGCGCCAAGGAGGAAGTGAAGTGCACAAGGGGACAACCATTTCATTGCAGACTGTTATGTTTATGTGGGGAAATGACAGTGCATACATTATTTGAGATGTATTTCGTACTCAGACTTCACTTTAAGGACATTTCGGCCAGGAGTGTGTGGTCACTCCAGGAGGCAGCGGGACGTGTAACTCAGAGAAGAGCAGCACCAGCGCTCAAAGAGCTTTTACGCACCGCCTATGTGTTTACCTTAATTGAACAGCTATAAAGAGTGACCACAGGCTGTTACGTTTTAACCACACACACCTCTACACACATCGAACTGCCCGATTACTCCCCCTTTTATTAGTTTTATGAAGGAGATGTCCGGTCACCAGGGCGCATGATGGGCGGACTGGGACTAAAAATCAGCCCGGGAATCTCACCCAGCCCAGCCCACGTAAACTGTCAAGGGGGGCGGCTAGTGAACTGTCAACGGGGGGAGCCTCGCTGCGGGGAAACGGTGGACCTAATGGCCCGATCGGAGTGGGCCCACTTCGGTACCGGCCCATTGGGATTCGCCCCGAACGTCCCGATGGCCAGTCCGCCACTGGGCCTCTCTGTGTGTGTGTGTGTGTGTGTGTGTGTGTGTGTGTGTGTGGTGTGTGTGGTGTGTGTGTGTGTGTGTGTGTGTGTGTGTGTGTGTGTGTGTGTGTGTGTGTGTGTGTGTGTGTGTGTGTGTGTGTGTGTGTGTGTGTGTGTTGTAGGAGCAAACACAATATCTGTGGCTTAAAGCCCACCTGTGCTCCGCGCCGTCCGTTAGATGAGCCTGGTCAGATTGATAAAAGAGGGAGTTCAACACACCAGCATAAAAGTTATAACAATAATCTGATTTTAATACAGTAAAAAACACAATACGAAATACAGAGTGCCCTGAAACAGAACACTTCGGGCTCCCCGCTGTACTGCCGTGCGATACAGATATCGGGACCAGCCAGTCAGAAACAGGGGGCATTTTTGCATGAAGAAACAACAGTATATATGGACATATTTGGAGGTGGAGATGTGTCGGCTCTTCCGTCCCATTTTACTCCTAAACGAATTAGAGTTCTGGGAAAAAGTATCTTTCTTCTGAACAGAGCGTGACAGCATCGGAACTATACAAGGTCAGAATCACTTTTTATCTTATACCTGGGTTAACTCCTTTAATTTCCCAGGGAAGATTTCACACAAACTATTCTTTTAAAACAATCAAACATTGTACACAGAAATATTGGTGCTTCGGATTATTCCCAGCAAGGACCAAAGAAAAAGAACATGTGTGTGTGTTAGTGAGGGAAAGTGTGTGTGTGTGTGCATGCTGATAAGCAGAGGCATATGTGTGTGTGTGTGTGTGTGTGTGTGTGTGTGTGTGTTGCTGATATCTGGGTTAAGGAGTTTATGTGTGTGTGCTGCATGAAGACAGGAGGAGGTGTATGTGTGTGTGTCAGGGTCTCTGGGTCATGGAGTGTAAGTAAGAAGGTTTAGATATATAGGATTACTTTAAACAGTCCCAAATAATACATGTTCACTTCAATACAGTTCAAGATAATACCTGTTTACTTTAATACAGTTTAGAACAATATCTGGGTGCTTTAGTGTGTGTGTGTGTGTGTGTGTGTGTGTGTGTGTGTGTGTGTGTGTGTGTGTGTGTGTGTGTGTGTGTGTGTGTGTGTGTGTGTGTGCGTGTGCGTGTGCGTGTGTGTGTGTGTGTGTGTTCTGAGTGTTTGTTTCCCTTTAAAACAACAGGTTCTATGAGAGTCACGGACATTAATTCATAGATCAAAGCAGACTGGTTTACAGACTCTCCTGTCTGAGTTCGAAATATATCTCAAATAATGTGTGCACTGTCATTTCCCCACGTATACATAGTCTAACAGTCTGCAATTAAATGGTTGTTTCCTGTGTGTTCCACTTCCTCCTTGGTGCATCGGTAACTTTCTCAACAAAAAAAATGAAAAAAAGATAAACGAACCCGTTTTCCTGACTTTATTTTTTTTCTCATATTTTTTTTATGTCTCTTAAACCGTTATTCCGACTTTTTTTTTTCCATGTCCCTTAGGGGCTCCGTAAAATATGATTTATTTCTTAGAATTATGACTTTAATCTCAGAACTAACATTTGTTTTCACTTTTGTTCAGATTTCCAAAAAAAATCTAATGTGGCCCCCCTCCTCTTCCGTTTTCACTGCACAACAAACGTTAAATACATTTCACCTATTTCTCTTTAATTTATCATCTTTCTAAAATAAAACTCACTCTACAGTCGTTAGACACGTTTTTAAGTCACGAATAAACATTGAAACTTCCACTAGTTGCTTTTGACTGAAACACCCAAATGAAGCTGAACCTCGCGTGCTGGCTGCTGATTTATACTCGCGCCTAATTACCTCCAGCCGTGGCTGAGCGTCTCGTGCAGATTGAAAGGGAAGGGAAAGGTAGAAGGACAGCACAGCAGTCTGTTGCGATGAAAACAAAGTGGTGTATAATGTGGAGTGTTTTATCACTTGGCATCCTCAGCTACGCACAGGGCACTTCTGAATCTCCATTCACCAGAAGGAAAACGCATTTTAAACAACAACAATCCAAATCAGTCAAACATTTAACGACAGACGACAGAAAACTCTCCCACCGGTTACCTGCCATCCCTTCCCCATTGTCTGTACTCACTTCCGCGTTTATGCGTCCAGAGGAAAAGCTCCAGTCGGACTTTGCTTACCTGCAAGACGTTTCTGTCACCTGCTCCACGGCTGACTTTGTCTTGCGGGTCAAACCAGTTTTCTACGGCCATGGTGCCAATGCAGAGGAGCTGAGACTAGGCAGCGGCTGCAAAAGCAACGGGGTTCTCAGACCCTACGGTGACCTGCTCTTCACGTACCCTCTGACGGCGTGTGGAGCCGTGCGGGAGGTAAGATTTGTGTTGCTTGTTTCCAGTCTCTGTCCCTGCATACTCTTAAAATCTCAGTGTCTGACCCCCTCTTGGACTTTGACAGTCGCCCCCCGGTTATCTCCTCTACAAATTCACACTCCATTATGAGCCTTCGCCAAAACGTTTCCCAACCAGAGCGCAGCGGATCGATGTGGACATTGAATGCCGTTATCAAAGGTTTGTCTCAGCTTTTTTTCATCAGCTTGTGTGTGTGTGTGTGTGGGGAAGCTCGATGTTCACTATCTCCATGTCCAGGAACCACCATGTGCACAAGCTGACAGTGCAGCCCACCTGGGAGACTCCTGTTCTGCGTAAAAAACTGAAGGGAAATGCAAATGACTTCCAGATGGAGTTGATGGATGGTATGTTTAAAGAACAGTAGATTAGGAATAAAGAGCTTCTGGCCCCATCTCATTTGATATATTTATGTTTTAGATTTGTGGAGCACACCTGCCCAGTCACGGGTGTACCAGCTTGGAAAGACGGTTAATTTCCAGATCTCTGCACCTCATCTCTCAACTGGTTCAAAACTGTACATCAATAGCTGCTATGCTTCACCATCCAGTGACTCTAAATCATCCCTCAAATACAGCATCATTGGCAATTTTGGGTGAGAAAAGTGGACGGTAGTGCATTTTTAGAAAAATCTTTTGGTTTGGGTTCTTTAGTGTCATATTGTTGTTGTCCACAGCTGTATGCTGGACAGTAAGAGCGACCCAGGGGCGTCTCGGTTCGTCTCTCGGACAGACAAGACCCTGAGATTCTCCATCCAGGCCTTCCAGTTCACTGCAGACCCTGACTCGGAGGTGAGTGTGGTTTATAATTATCTGGATTCTCCTAGTTATTCTTTAGCTGCAGCTTAACCCAGTTTCTTTTTTAGGTTAATATTCACTGCAAGTTATTAGTCTCATCTGAAGACCCGGGTCCTGCTCACAAATCATGCACCTACAAAAAGGACAGGTGAGATTTGGCACTTTAAACTACATTTCCATTACAGGACTGTAGTCTTTCACCTGTTTCCACATGGATTGAGAATATTTGTGTTGCATTTGCCATGACAGGTGGAAGGCCCTCTCTGGTGACAAGACCATATGTGACTGCTGTGATTCACAGTGTGTGCCCTCTAAACTCCAGAGGGCCATGATGGAAGGTTTGACTTTTTTGTTGTTTTAAGACATGGATAGCATGCACCCATTCCTACTCGGATGTATTGGATTGTTGTGGTAACTTTAAGTGGCACTAAAAAACATGTTTGTATCACTAGCTTACAATTATCTTATGACCCACCAAAAGTGGAATGGGAGAATGGACACCCTACAGATGTTTACGTGCATTAAGACAATATGTTTATGTTTGACAAAGCAAATGAGGTATTATCATGAAATAAGAAAGTGCGCATTGTGACCATTTGGATAAAACCATGGGTGTTAACATGTTTTTAATTATATTGACACAATAGTAGTTAAAGGTTTTTACAGAGGGAATTTTCGATATCTCTTTGTAACACTGCATAAATCTAATATTTGACATGTTTTTAGGAATAAAATGAAATATATAAATCAGGATAGCGATACCCCCTCTGTACAATCCTTCGGAATATATAAGTGAAGTTGAGATATCTCAGGAAATTACTCTTTAGGAAAATGCTCTGCTAACTTTTGGTGACTGTAGGACTCACCGGCAAAGAAATAAAGTAAAATAAACACCTAAATGTGTATTTTTGGATGTTTTTATTTCAACTCGTTTTTAGAGAAAGGCATGTTATGGAAGCAACACATCCCAATCTCTCAAAATTGACCAGGTTATGCGAAAAGCATTTTTTAATGTCTTACCTTAAGTTATATCAATGAAAGTGATAACACATTTCTACTTTTAACTTTATATTTCAGGTTTTTCCAGCAGTGGGTCTTTGCTGGTCTCTGATCAGCCGTACACGACAGAAGATGACCTTCTACCAGTCGGCATTAGCGGAGTCGGCCATGTCACGATGCATGACACCGATAAGCTGCAAGAGACCCCGCTGGAAAGTGATGATGTAGTGACTTATGATGATTACAACGAAGAGCTAGACTACGCATATGAAGAAGAGGAGGAGGAAGAGGGGTTTGAAGAGGATGAAGAAGGAAGTGGGTTTATCCTTGGAGTGATACCTGAACCTCATTCAGAGGAGTTAGGATTTAGGGACAGGGTTTCAGTTGAGTCTAAGGTGAAGGATTCACATCAGTTAAAAGAGGATGGGTCAGGGTTTGTAGGGCGAGAAGAGAGTGAAGAGCAGGAGGAATTTAAAGGAGGAGAAGATGAGACCCATTGGAATCAGGAGGAGGCTGAAGTCTTACGTCATTGGGAGCAGTTGGATGAAATCTTCACATCACAAGTCGTCCCACAGAGAGAATCACACCTGCCGGCCTCTGAAAGTGAGGAAGAGGAGAGGAAGCATACAGGTGGAGGTGAAGAGCATGAGAGGAAGCATACAGGTGGAGGTGAAGAGCATGAGAGGAAGCATACAGGTGGAGGTGAAGAGCATGAGAGGATGGAGGAGAGGAAGCATATAGGTGGAGTTGAAGAGCATGAGAGGATGACGGAGGAGAGGAAGCATACAGGTGGAGTTGAAGAGCATGAGAGGATGGAGGAGGAGAGGAAGCATACAGGTGGAGGTGAAGAGCATGAGAGGATGACGGAGGAGAGGAAGCATACAGGTGGAGTTGAAGAGCATGAGAGGATGGAGGAGGAGAGGAAGCATACAGGTGGAGGTGAAGAGCATGAGAGGATGACGGAGGAGAGGAAGCATACAGGTGGAGGTGAAGAGCATGAGAGGATGATGGAGGAGAGGAAGCATATAGGTGGAGGTGAAGAGCATGAGAGGATGATGGAGGAGAGGAAGCATACAGGTGGAGGTGAAGAGCATGAGAGGAAGCATACAGGTGGAGGTGAAGAGCATGAGAGGATGGAGGAGAGGAAGCATATAGGTGGAGTTGAAGAGCATGAGAGGAAGCATACAGGTGGAGGTGAAGAGCATGAGAGGATGACGGAGGAGAGGAAGCATACAGGTGGAGTTGAAGAGCATGAGAGGATGGAGGAGGAGAGGAAGCATACAGGTGGAGGTGAAGAGCATGAGAGGATGACGGAGGAGAGGAAGCATACAGGTGGAGGTGAAGAGCATGAGAGGATGACGGAGGAGAGGAAGCATATAGGTGGAGTTGAAGAGCATGAGAGGATGGAGGAGGAGAGGAAGCATACAGGTGGAGGTGAAGAGCATGAGAGGATGGAGGAGGAGAGGAAGCATACAGGTGGAGTTGAAGAGCATGAGAGGATGGAGGAGGAGAGGAAGCATACAGGTGAAGAGCATGAGAGGATGACTGAGTGGGAGGATGACGACAGTCTAGAAGATTTCGTAGATGATGGAGAGAGTACCTGGTATTTCCCATGGAGGTAGCGTTGGGTCAATGGATCGATCAGTATTCTGCTCAAAGACCCTAACCCCCATGATAGTAGGATATTCTGATTTATTTCAATAAAAAACATGAAAATGCAGCTGATGGATTTGTCATGAATTTAAAAACATGCTAAGCAGGAACTTAAGTTCTCAGTGTTTAAATGTCATTGGAAGATTTGTATTGATATTCAACATTGATTCAAACGAGCCATGACAATTAAGAATAATGTCAACTCTGAAATGCCATAGTTTTACTTGCATTTACCTGAGGCTTAAGAAAGAAGCTGAAACTAAAAATTGCAACAATCAATATCAGAAAAAAAAGATGCTCATCAGTCCATTTGACGATTTGATCCGTCCATAAATCTTTATTCTTTCCATTATAAATGATTTCTTACAATACAGTGTCTGAAACCAGTTTGAAATATATTATAGTTCAATACAGACATATCCCACTGTTGAGCATCAACTGAGAAAGGGCAAAGCCTCCATTATCAGTAACTAAAAGCAGCAGAAAAGATATTGCTTTGCAGGTCTGCTCATTGGTTCTGTGACATCTCATTGCACCCACAAAGAGCTTTTAATCATAAAAAAGGACATGTGGGATTTTAGAGAACACATATTTGGACATGATTAAGCGATACAAACAAACTTGATTTTAAATGATGATACACAGGTTTAACACCTGTCTGTGGAGACTCATCTGAATATGAAAACAGGAAACAAATAACTTAAGATAATTAATACTTTTTAACTAATGTAATTGCTGTGGAAACCGTTTTGGAGAAAATATAGAACAGAACTCTGTAGAACAGATCCATCAATGCTGGATATGTTGAATGTACAAAATCATGCTATATTTACAGATGAGCGCCCAAAAGTCCCATTGTTACATCTCAAGCTGGTTCAGCAGGACATACGTCGATGTGTGACACTAGAGGGCGGTATATTCCCATCTCGTGCAACGGAAAGCTCAGAAGCACCTCTGGCAAAAGAAAATATGCTGTATTCATTCCTGGTAAAATGCAAACTTGAGCAAAATGAAGACCCACACCATTAACGTTAAAGTCGGAAAATTTCCTTTAAAATCCAGAACTTTTACAAATGCAATCCTTGAGATAAGCATCTCATCCATCTAAATCCATTGTCTTGCTTGCTTCTCACACAAAGACCTTGCATCAGATTCAGTGTTATTGGTAAGTCCTTCCCAGGTCTCCTTCAGTCTTTACAATCATGTGGATGGCGTCTCTCCTCCTTCAACAGTACCTGCTGTCCCATTCATTTTCTCCGTAGCATCTGAGGTTGGACAAGAAAAATAGTCAGTTTAATGAAATCAGAAAAGTTACATCATAAAATAAAAAACGGATTTAAACATTATCATAAACCTATATGAGCTGCTTTAGCTGTAGAGGCATTTATAACAAAAGTGAAACCAGGTCAAAACAAACTGTATCTTCTTGAATTAGCTGAATTTATTAAGATGGTCGCTGACCTGGAATACATTTTGAGAGTATTAAGGTCAAAATGATATGAATGTTGGAAGCATGGTTTATAGCATTTTAGCATGCTGACGTTAGCATCTATCTTATTAGATTGCTGTTCAGAAGTAAAGCGTTTCAGAGACTGTATAGACTTTGAGACTTGTTTATCAATTACAGACTAACTCCAATATTTTTTATTTAAATTGAATAATCTCTCTTACCCTTGACACCGTCTTGCAGTGCTTCCTGTCCTGCAGTTTGCTCCGTCCCTTCACTGTCCTCGATCTCTTTCCCCTTCGTTTTTGGTTTCCTTGCAACGGGTGGTGGCACCTTAACTTCCTTCTTGACCCACTTCGCTTCGCCTGCCACCTTCTGTACGGTGGCCATGTCCTCCGGTGCCGGCTTGGTCTCGATCACCACCCTCTTGTTGCTCTTGGAGAAGATAAAGCTTGCTGTGCTGCAGGGGGACTTTTGGGGGTCTTTTGGCGACGTTGGGGAGTTCAAACTGAGGCGGGATGCGGGGCCGGTTTTTGATCTGGCCGCTGTCCTCAGGCGGATGGCCTCCTGCAGGTTCATGGAAGGAGAGGCCGTCATGGCAGGTGGAGACCTTTTCGCTGGGGTTGGGGAGGCAGGCAGTACCAAAACAGAATGGGTCTCTGGCAGAGCTAGTTGTTCAGTGTCTGTGGCAGGGGGTGAGGCGGGTAGTGAAGATGTGGTTGGTGGTGAGAGGATTATCAGAGACCTTCTGATGGGCTTCTGAGGAGCCTCACCACTGGCAGATGAGGGGGGGGCAGGGTTGCTGGGCTGCTGCTTCCTCATGGTAACCTCCACCACTGCTGGCTCCTGAGCTTTAGGAGGCTCAGGGCTGCTGCTGACTGACCGCAGCTTGACCATCTCCAGAAGGGAGGGGCTGACACTGAGCGAGGGTCCCTCCTGTGCAGCGGGGGCAGAGGTCGGCTCCAGGGTTTGGTTATCTGTGCTTACAGGACTAGGCTGCTCCTTAATGCTGGCAAGGCCCTGCAAAGGTAAAGGTGGAGCTAAAAGATTGTTTACAGGTGGAGAAGGAGCAGGTTCTTCAGCCTTTTCTGGTGGGATAGAGACTTCTGGGGAAGGGGAGGGCTCCTGGGTCGCTGGACCATGGGTGTTCAGGGGTACAACCTGAGGGTGGAGGAGAAGCTGTATAGGAGGTGGAGGGGGAATACTCTGAGGGGGAGTGAGAGTGCTGTGAGATGAAACTGAGAGAGTTTCAGATTCAACCACGGAGCTCTCTCCGGGCAGATCAAGTTCTTTCGCTGGTGGATTTGGCTGTGATTGTAGGGAAGGTGGAGGAGGAATATTTAGTGGTGGAGTAAAGCTCTTAACAGGTGTGACCTCCTCAGAAGATTGACAGGCCTTCTCTTGAGCAGATGGAGGAGACACTTCTTCAGTGGACAGACAGGATATGTCTTCAGGACCTGGTGGAGCGGAGACCTCGATAACTGGTGGAGGAGATACCACCGTCACCAGTGTGCTGGAGACCTCATTGACGTGAGCAGGGGGGGCCTCCTTTGGTTCCAAAGGAGTAACCTTAACAAGGAGCGGAGGTGTAATTTCTTTGAGTGGTGTAGAAGAGACCTCCTTAGGTGGTGACGGAGGGGAAGTTTCTTTAGGTGGTGATGGAGGAGAAATACCCTTAGGCGATGGTTGAGGAGACATTTCTTTAGGCGGTGTTGGAGGGGATGTCTTCTTAGGTGGTGGTGGAGAGACTTCTTTAGGTGGTGGCGGAGGAACAACCTGCTTAGGTTGTGTCGGAGGGGAAGTTTCTTTAGGTGGTGGCTGAGGAGGAATATCCTTAGATTTGGGCGGAGGGGAAGTTACATTAGGTGGTGGTGGAGTGACTTGTTTAGGTAGCAGTGGAGAAGAGACCTTTTTGATTGTAGGAGGGGACACTACATTAACTGGTGGAGGGGGAGCCGTGTATGGTGGGGGAGGTGGGATATTCAGGGGTGTAGGTCCCTGGTCTGTGATCACCACTGATATAACGGACGTAGTTGTACACGTGGAGCCACCACCAGAAGAGGAGTTCTCCTGTGGCACCTGAACAGGTAACACGAACCCCACCTCACCGAACATGGGGGGAGGCGGAAGAGGGAAGTCAACATCATCAGGCCCATTGAGGCCCACTTTTGCCATTGGTGGAGGCGGTGGGGGCCAGGAGGCTTCGGGGGACACAACGACTGATGGGGTTGGGGGTTGGGGAGGGTGGTGCGCCGGAGGAGGAGAGGGAGATGGAGTAATGCGTGTTAATGAAATGGTGGTTAACGTATCCATGTGAGTCTTTACATCTGGGTCTTGTGTGGATGCTGGTTTGACCTCTTCTTCTCTCACCACTGATAGCCTTCCTTCACGCTTCTCTACGGCCTTCACTAACATGCTGCTTATTATGTCACTTGCTCTCACTTTCTCCTCTTTTTCTGTCACTTTCCCATTTCCTTTCAAATCAACGTTCTGCTCAGCCAGTCTGTTGAGGTCCTCTTTGTGAACCTCTGCACTCAAAATCCCACTTTCTTGACCTTTCTTTGTTTCCAGAACACGGAGGGCTCCGCTAATGGACTCCACTGTTACATTCAGATTATTTGCAGATGCAGAAGGAGACTGCCTCTGTGGTCTCCTGTCCTTTGGATTTCTCTTTATGATGGCGTAAAGGTTATCAGGCGCCGGGGGTCCCAGCAGCAGCTCAAATGAACGCTTGCTGTGAGCCCACACCTCTGGAGGAGGCGGTGGAGGTGCGTGGATTTTAGGTGGCGGAGGGATGTTGAAGAGTTCCCTCAAGGCCCTTACAGAAGGGCCGACAGTTTCAACTGTGGTGACAGGTTTGAGTTCCTCACGGAGAGGAGGTGGCGTTGAACCAGACCCAGGAAAAAACCGTTGAAACTTTGCGAAGATGCCTCTCTTGTGCCTCGGAGATGGGCTGTGGGACTCTTTGGAAACCTGTGTGGATGTGCCTTCTTGGCTGGAGTAGCCACTGGATGGAGAGACTATTCTGCTAAGCTTATTCTCCGGATCCTTCTTCTTTTCTGAAGAGTCTTTCGCTCTTTCGGCTTCCTCTGATTTTCGGGCCTGCACCTGGGATCTGATGGGGCTAAATGACACAGAGCCTGTAGAGTCCTCCAGTGAACTCGTGTCAGCGGTATACCCAGGGCTGGAGGGCGAAGATCCCAATTTATTTTGTTCATCTTCCTCGCCTGAAGCTGAGGTGTTATTTAGAGAGGATTCCCTTGAGTTGACCCTAACTTCTGCCAGATCCCTGGACCGCCGCTTCATCTTATTGTGGAGGGAAAAGGTGCGGCTCGGAGGAGGAGGAGCCCTCTTGGGCTTCATGACGGAGAGGCTACGTGAAAACGGCTCCTCCTTCTTAACCTCGTCTCCTTTAACAATGAGCTTGCCATTGGAGTTGCATTTTGAAGCCCTGCTGATAGAGGAGTGAACACTGATTTGGTCCTCTTTAGCATCTCCATCCTGGGACCTCTTCTGTCTAGGGGTGCTGCTGCTGGAGATGGTGGAGGAGTCCGATACCAAGGTGTCTGAGGACTCAGAGTTGCTCCAACAAGAGCTATCGGACATATTGTGAGGGTAGTTGCGGGATGCAGAGGTGATGTCGGAGGCTCTGGAGGAAGAGGTTCTGGAGGAAGAGGCTCTGGAGGAAGCCCTGGAGGAGGCCGGGCTGGACATCACCAGGCTGCTCTTGCTGACGGTGCGCACGCTGTTGCGACTCCGTCCACGGCTGATTTCCACCACATCAATGGAGGGTGGCAACACAGCATTTGGAATGATTTTGGACATGTAGGGTGCCTGGGGGGACATGGACATGACGGGGCTGGGCAGCTCGGGCTGGAGGCTGTCAGAAGTGGTCATACCAGGAACGGCCATGGAGTGAGGCCTCTGCCCATCTGACAGCTCGGGGCCCAGGTGATTCAGCAGGGCCAGGTCATCCCTATGACCAGCATTGGGGGCACCGAGCCGCTCAAGATGGCGTTTGTGGAGGGGATGGATGAGGCTCATGTCCTGAAGGCTGGCACCAGCTCTGGTTTGTGACTGAGGCCTATAGGCTGTTGGGCTGTCGTCAGATTCACCATTATAAAGATGCTCCTCATCTAACCTCTGAGTCAGTGACCAACCCACTCTGTCCAGACCTGATGAGAGAAGACAAGTTCATAGTTATTATTTAGGAAATGAACGCACAAAGAAACAATCTATCATCAATTTGTTCTAGATAGAAGACCGTAACACAGGCTTATTCAATTGGCTGTATACATTAATACAATTTCAAAGCTGAAGAAGAAATACATCTGGGAAAATTCAATTTGTTTGCGGACACTCCAGCCAAAGTTTTCTCCCCCATTTTAAAATTAAAACACAGGAGCATAATTCTTCTCCTCTTATGTTTTGAAGAGAATGTGTGTATGGAACGTATCTATAACAGAAATGCACAATAAACACAAACCAGGAAAAAGAAAGAAGGTGTTGGTTAAAAAGGACAGAAAGAGGTGAGGTGGGTCAATTAACCACCTCAGAATAATAGCTCAGCTCTATGAAAAAGTGGCCGTCTAAACAATATAAATGTATAACCCTGCAGTAACATAACCACCTTTTGATATCATTTTAAATGCAGCACATACAAATGAAAAATAAATGTATAGATGCATGTATTTTTGTAAGTTATGATTAGCTGCATACCCAGTTCTCTCTGAACATGCTGTGGGATTCCCCCGACAGTCTTCCTGTGTTTTCTCCTCGTCTTGGTCTTTTCTGACTTTTTCCCATGATTCAAGGGCCTGAATGTTGACCCTGGGCAGACAGAGGCAAGAGAGAAACATTAGAAAAACATCATGATGAAACAACCTACACATCTCACCAATTACATGTTTTCTCTGTAAATGTATATGTGTGCATCATCATATGTTGTATAAAATATGTACTTTCAAGTAGGTAGTATTAGCTTTTTACGGTTGTGGTTAAGTTACCTTGCCTGGTGAGACCAGAGCGGGAGGACCTCGTGGACACAGATGATTGTACAGAGACGACAGAAGATGAGTCAGCAATAGTGCTGTCTGTCATAAACCCTTCCCCGTCCGTTTGGACCGTCATGTTCGACTGGCAAAAAGGAGAGACAATCTTTTGTTAAAAAAAATCTGTACATGTAACTGTGTTTTGGGTAATTGTGAGTAAAAAAAGGCAATTCTAGGTAAGATGTGTCACTTACAATTGTGCTCATGTTGTCCTGGAACTCCATTCCATTATTGGTTTCTGCACAAGAGAGAAATATTATATTAGCAATTAAAATTCTAAGCAGTGTTTATATCCTGTGGTGCACACCCTCTTGAGCAATATGCAAACAGTTGGCACACCTCTAATTGACTGCACATGTGTATGACTAAGTCACTAGAGCGCTTTGTACCTTCCTGCTGCATCATTTTCAGTCCCTCCAGGGCCTCAGTGTGGAGGTTCTCCAAGTACTCGGGCCTGCTGGCCTCTATGAAAACATTCTCCTGTAACAGCGGGGGGGGCCGGGGTCTTGTCATTGTCATCTCGCTTTTGGACAGCTTGAAGAGAGAGAGAGGAGAGAGGGGATCAGCCTGGATCAACTAAAAGCTGTGTGTTACTGTTACAGTAGATAAAGGGGACCATATGGCCAGGGTGAGGTCCTTCAGGTGTCTGCCAGAAACATTTAAGTACAATAGATTGTTTGACGGTTAATTACACGAGAATGTGCGATTAAAAAGGCTGAACTTCCTCATCCTCACGCAGGATTAAACTCCAGTGCAGTACAGTGACTTTTAGGAAAGGATTATCATATTAAAAATCTATCCGGCACCAGGTAGGAAAATCATATTTGCAGGTTTAACTGCTCTCGAGAAGACTAATACAGTACCTGAGCCTTAATTGATAAAACAATGGTTAGATCATTTTAGGGATATTGCTCTAAAAGGAATATTATTAGCTGTTATTCCTAAAGTACAGGTGTCCACTGTAGAGTGTTATATTGTGTTTTATATTGGTGACTTTATTGCAAGGAAATGGTAATATGTATAAAGTATGTTAAGAACTGTTTGTTTGTTTAATAATCCTTGTCTTCGGTATGTTGTCTACAACGATTTTCACGTCACAAAAATCCACCGTCAGGTAATATGCTCAGTATTGCAAATCTTCTTGGAGCCAAAGTATCATTAAATTACACAATGTGAATTAAACTAAATAAATTACAGTCAAATCTTGTTCATGCAAAATGTACCAGTTCAACCTTTTGTTAACCAATTATAAGATACCTGAAATTCAGCATGTAACATGAGCACTATTGTGGCTTGTGAATAATTCTGTGTTGATCACGGTCATGTTTGCATTATAAAAAGGACTTCAAAGTCAGACACTTGAGAGAAACCAAGATAAAAATAAAAACCTGACGTTACAGTAGCTTAAGATTTGCTGACCAACAGGCATGCCTTTGAACTCTAGCATTTATGTGGTGCTCACACACTCCCAGGGCTCAGTCTGGGATCATTGGCCTAACAACCTGCTAAGACACTTTTATGTAATGGTCTCAGCTGCTCCACACTTAGCCACCCACTGTACTCTACTGTCGTGTAAGACCATGCTGCAATTAGCTAGCCATGTGCTCACTGATCGTTTTACCACTGTCTGTTTTGTAAGCATTGTGTAGCATTAGAGTTGCTCCCAATAAGCAATTATCTATAAATATGCAAAACTCGAGTTATTCTATTTTAAAGCAACTGTTAGTTGCAAGAGTGAGAAATCACAGCATATCAGATAAAAAGAGATAACAAACTAACAGTAGTTTTTATGGTCCACAGTGATAGTAAATGACCACAATTAGATTACTTTACTGCGTCTATGGGAGCAAGTGGATCCAGCCAGTCTGGGTCATACTTGAAAAGCAGTTTCAACAATCAGGAAGGAAGCAATAAAGTCATAAACAAATCTAATGTTATCTGCTAATTTCCAACAAGTGTGGTGTTCGGACTCACCTTTCCTCCTGAAGAGAGTCGGTAAGCAGTAGTAATTCGTACTAGAGTTATTAGTCAGAAGCAGTACCATAGTTGCAAGTAAAGTGCTCCAAAAGTACGCTGAAACTAGGCCAACGTTGGGTTAAAGAAAGAGGAAGAAAAATATGATCTAGATCAAATCCGTCAGTTTGAAAAACATCCTGGTAAAATCACTCCTGATCACAGCAGGATGAGAGTCTTTCTTGTTTTTTATCAAGTTGTTGTTTTCCTTTTAGGTCCATGCAGAGCGTTGAAGGTCTCTACAGCCAATAGACAATCAGAGCTCAGACTAATCCTCAGCAGCCTAATTCCTGCCAGCTCTCTCTACTAGGTCTCCCCCACTCGCTGCCCAGCATCCCACTGTTGCCCCCCATCCGTGGGCACGCTCGCCCCGGATTGGTCAGTCAGGGCACAGATCAAAATGAGATCATACATGTAAACATTGAAGGGAAGGGAAAGCTGTTGTCAGGGATTTTGGAGGTATAGAGCGTCACTTGAGCCCCAGCTTTGGAAATAAACATCACAACACTCCTTTGTTAGATTACACAACATTTTCACTGAAGTACTACGTTAACACCCCAAATGTGTATACTTCCTCACAATTTATTATGGGACATATAATTGTATTGTTTTTGCCACAAGGGGGAGTAAGCGAATTAAAATATTCTATTTCTTTAAACAAGATTAAAAACATGTTTGGAAAGAGGGCTGCAGTCCCCTTTTGTTCCCTGCAGCATTGCCTCAGATTTGATAATGAAAGACCTAAATAACTCAGTTAATCTAGAGCTGCTGTATAAAGATGGATTTAAAGATCTGAGCATTTAACACCTTTTTAACCGTTTTTAGGGCAAACTTGTGTTGACTATTTCTTCAGCTTTTTTCTTTTTGTTTTCTGTTTAGAGCACTTCAAACTGCAGCTCAGGGGGTTTTATCACTTCCTGGTGTGCGGAGCAGACATGACGAGGAATGTATGCCATCTGAACAAATGGAAAACATTCCCATGGTCGTGATGCTACCTAGTGACTCAAGACAAAAGCAGTTTACATAATAAAATAAAATAAATGAACCATATGTGTGTAAGCAGCCCATAGCAACGAGTGGAAAAAAAAGATCACCATTTCACCGCTTAAGTGGAGGCTTCAACCGCTGGATGTAAACAGAGAGTTGATATGCATGTGTGGGGTGAAGTCAGTGTGGGACAACACTTATCTGGTTACCATGACAGCACACACTCCGCTGGAGTGACGGGTGGGGCCGGCCACACGTTAACGAGGGGTCATGTTATCACTGGTTCTGTGGTCACATTGTTATTGTGTACAAATGAATCACTGACATATTAAAGATACCATCTGTCACTGAAGCCGGCGATATTGACGGGCTGGTTGTGATTATTTATGAACAGCAAACTGATGTTTACAGCGTGGATTTGGATAAACAGATTCATCCTATGGATTTGATACTGCGTGATCAGATCTAAGTTATCTGTTTCAGCCCCTCGTGAAAAACAATGTGTTGAAGAAATGCTCTTTGTGGGAATCGTAATGAATTATCATTACATTTCTGACATGTAACTAATGGTGGGATTAAAGTAGAGCAAAGATCTGTTGGCAAATGTAAAATATGTACTGTTTTGGCAGTAAACAGAGACAGAAGGGCTTCAGGAGACATGTTGCGTCACCTACTAACAAATTACAACCACAGACGGCGATGAAGTGTGTTTATGATACGCAACCATGGTAATATATTGTACAATTTAGCTATGAATACCAATTTCAAAATAATGAGCACTGATCTTTGAATTGATAAAGATTGAGAAAGTAAGACCATGAATAGTAAGAGTTTATTAACCCTTTTTTCTGTCTATTTCAAAAAGCAAGGCTTCAAAATTACAACATTTAACATTTACTAAACCTTTTTAGCACCTAGTCTACGATCAACAGTTTATCTATGGCCAACAGCCTGTTATAAAAAGATCAGGACAAGTCTTAGTCTCTTTCAAAGTGTATTTATTAGGTAAAGTTCTTGATTACGTTTACGCTAGAAAATACTGAATCCTTAGGTCAAATGTAACTTTATTGGAGTTACAGATTCTGATATCAGCCTTGTTTTAAAATCCAGCCCCGGGTTACTTAAATTCCCAGAAAAAACACACTGACCACACTGTCCTCAGTGGCTACAGCTTTCTGTTAGATATTTAAATTTACTACAAAAAGCAATGGCCAACATATCACTTTTTGTGATGATCTCTGGTAGCGTCATGTGCTAAACAGCCATAATGACAGAAAGAAGGGGGAGTAGAAGGAAAGACACGTTGCACCGCTTCAGAATGTAGTTAAAATGTAAAGAGCAACAGTTGGAAACCCTAGCTTTAGATTTAGCACCACACACAGACATTAACACAGACGCTGACGTGATGGGACTCCGGCTTCATGGGAATCAAACATATGCAAATACCCCACACACACACACACACCTTACGTTCCTGTCCTAACTTGCCCCTCGCTCTTGTTTTGCCCCTCGCTCTTGTTTTGCCCCGCGAGGCAGACAGCCATGTTGCAGAGACGTTCTCTGAGGGTGCTGTCTGCCAGGTGCTTAAGCCTCGCTAATCAGCACCAACCCAACTGAACGCACTGTGATGACAGTAGGAAAGGGCTGGAGGCTCACTCTTCCTCTAAGCAACAGTCTTGCTACACTGACCGGACACATCCTGATCAAAGTGTGTGCACTACTGACTATTTTCACGCTCTTGGTTTTCAATGAATTAAATATCAACACCTCAGTTGAAAGAAAGGAAGGCCGAAGCATGGTGTGACAAGGAACGACAACAATCCATGTAACAGATACACCTGCATCCTCAGGCACGCAGGGCACTCTATTACACCGTCAGACTACACAATCTGTTAGCCAGCAGACCAGCATGCATCAGGTGTACCTCCAATAATAAACCCAGGGTGCACACAGATGCATTTGATGGCAAATATTTTGCAGGTGGCCACTTTTTTTTACTACAGTCATCCTCCTTGGAATTATATTGCCATTTAAAAAAGGTCAAAGGTGAGCAAATTACCAGTGCTAGCTTCATAGTGCTAAAGTTTCTCTCAAAAAGCCATAAGCAACACATCAAAATCCCATTAAAAATGATGCAGGAGAATGTAAAATATTCAGGCCTGCTTGTGCCTGTTTAATGTAGGCATAGCATTGCGTTGATACCAGACAATAAAACAGGTTTATTAGTAGAACAACTGTGAGACACAAATTACTGGGTGTATTTAAGGTCACATTTTGAGGTAATTGATAAGTGTTAGTTAGTTACAATTAAAGAAAAAAATGTATTAGCTACTTTAGAGTATCACAAGCAACAAACTATTTTCAAACCATATTAGCTATTTTTGAGCCATGCTAGCGGTGTTAGCCTATTGCTTGATCCACCACTTTGGTCCAGACATTAATATCTCAACATCTATTGAACAAAATGCTACGAAATATGGAAACTGACATTTATATTCCCCAGAGGATAAATCCTAGTGACTTTGGGCAACCCC